GGGGGGGGGGGGGGGGGGTGGGGTGTCAGACCTCTACAGACAGACCACTGCTTCCACACAGAGAGCAAAGGTCCTATTGTACAGCATGCAGGCAAGGGACATGCTTTTCTAATTGGGCTGTGGCTGCTTTCTAAAGTAAATGTACTGTAAGACTGTGCACCTTTTTTGTTTCGATGCACCTGGAATGCATTTTACTAATAACTGAAATTTGACCTTTTAACTTTCATTGTTAGTGTTTAATGGTTTACATAATTAGTCCAGTTCACATTGCTACATTATCCACCTAATAGTATTTCACAAGGACAAATTAAGTAATGCAAGCAATCCTAGCCTAACATTTTGTTCAATCCTTGACAGGGAATAGGGAGTTTCAGGGATGGCCCACTTCCTACATGACTCTTCTGTGCTAGTAGTATAGAGTCATAATCAGTAGGTGAAGTTCTAGACATTGAGCTCCAACTACTGGTACTTCTATATTCTGAATACATACTGGTATAATTATTAACTTGGCACTGTATGCTTATGCATGTAGCAATCTACAGAGCAGCCACAGCTGTCATTAGCATCACTGATATACCATTTGATTGCTGTAGGTTACAGTATGCAGTGGCCACTCAGATCATGCTGTTCAGTAAAGCCATTATATGGTTGGATTTCTACACTTGGTTGCTGCCTTCAAGTTGGGCTCCCTGAGGATTTGCTAACTGATGGCTATATGGATGAGTCTTTAATGTAAAACGGATGATTCACATACATTTAGAAATGAACTATAATAAATAAATGACTGACATGCTATGTATTATTCTGTACAATAATACTGTCTATTCTTACAGTTAAGGTAGTTGCATACATGGCTTGAATTTCAAGCCATGTGTGGCCTTATCAGCAACCACTTGGCTCCACAAAAGTCATTTTGTTTTAATAGATCGACTGAGCCAGGTGTAAAATTATTGGCCGAACAGTGACTGCATCCTGTCAGTTTTAGTCGCTGTTCAGGTATTTAAGTAGCGGCTGTCTGAATACAATAGCCAGCAGTGGCGATTTTGCCATCTATGCTGTTTAGCATGGAAGGGGAGAATCTAGTGACTTTCTCATTCAGCCTGTGAGCTAAACAAGAGAAATCTAAACCTAAGCTGGCCATACACTGTTTTATATTCTTTTAGTTCAATATAACCAATTCCTCTACACACATCAAACAGTGTTTATGGATGAATCTCCCTCTGGGCTATTGTATTCTGACAGTGACCGCAGCTGATGGGCTGCCATGACTGTTTGCCCATAAATTTTCTGACTGGCTCCATAGATTTTTCTGATCAAAGGATGCCGGATGGAAAGTTACTGCCAGGACCACCGACTGAATGTAATTCGTACAGTATACGGCCAGCTTTACTGTTCTTTTCAGAAACCAGTGAACAGATTATCTTGGGCATAAAATGTATCCTGAAGGTCATGCATATGCAGATCAATGAGACGTATCTGCCCGATCAGCTAAACAAACAAGTTTGACCTAGCTGGATCATGTTTACACCACGCTGCTGCTGATGTCTTATCTTGTACAAAACCATTCAGTGCCTGTGTTTGAAATCCCAGAGCCGAATGCACTTCTCAACAAATCTGGGAGAGCAATACACATGGACAGACCAGTATCGTGAAAATCAGCAAGATGCTACATTGTTTATTGTAACTGTGCAAAGAGATTGTCTGACTGAGCTTTTGTCTGTCTTGCCTTCTCTCCACTGAAGTGAACACGGCATGCAGTGTTTTGTAGGAACTGACATTTATTTCTCATAGAGATGAGGCGGGGCTTGGTGTGAACCCAGTTTGCTCAAGCACGCTCAAAACGGAGCACCAACCCCCTTTTTTTTTTTTTTTTTTTTTTTTTTACCCAATCATTTGCAGGGAGGCACATTCCCCGTCCCGCAGCTATACTTCCCAAAAGGGCAGGGAATGCCCCCTGCTGCAACTGCCACCACTGATTGGGTTGGGAGGAGGATCAGGGGGGTGGTCAGAGTTTTGAGCTGCCTTGGGTGAACAGGGGTGAACTGAATTTGCACCAAGTCCACCCTTCTCTCTTCTTATTATTATTCTTACTATTATTGCTCTGCAGGGGCATTCTCGGCAGGGAAATCAATGTGGTTGTTTTCACCCAGGCACTAAAAATGCCTCTTTTAGGAGAGAAATGTCTCGTCCACTGACCAACTGTGTCATGTCTTATTCCATTTTAGAAGTCGTTATTCTTTATGCTTTGATAATGTTGCACATGATAAAGGGATGCACATTGTTTGTGATGTTCCTGAAAACTGAAACAAAAAGGTGATTTTATTACTAATAAGATTCTAATAGTCATCCTCCCAGAGAATATTCAACTTAAATCTGGTTGCTCCAGGCAACACTTGGCACCAGCTTTCTCAGGTCTCAGGACCTTGTTTGGTTGTTCTGAGTTTTTAGTATTGTTTAAAGTGAAACCACTCAAGGAAAGGAAACAAAATCCCCTCCAGGACAGTTATGTACATTGCGAGAATTTTAGCAAATTTCAATTTAGATCCTTATCTGCCCATATTCTGTAAATATTGAGAAAGACCATTCCAATGAAAGGCCCTTACTTCTACTATACCGATGTATGCCGTGGTTGTAAAGAAAGGAAATATGAAATCCTATGTCCGTTACCAGAAGCCATTACAATGAAATGGGGAAGGGCGTTTTAATAACATGTCTTACAATTACTCATCAATTTGTGCCAGAACTAGGGATTTCTTACCAGTCGCTTTCACTGTTTAGTCATTGCTGAGGAATTACAGGAAATGTTTTCTTTGCAAACGCATTAATCGGGTCATAATATTGAATCAAGAACTATAGTTAGTTTTGTTTTTTACAATTTGTTATTTATATTCTTCTTGATCATACAGTATATAACACACACTACCTGAAAGCTAAACCATATAGTGCCTTTTTTCCTCAAATTCAGAAGTAATAATTTACTGCTTTTGTGCAAAACTCCAGCAATGACACAAGTAAGCATATTTAACAAAATATTGAAAGGAGCAAAATGTTAAATGCTGTACCTCTAGCAACCAATCAGATTCCACCGTGTGCTGCTGACGTCACTAAATGAAACTATAAGTGCACTTCTCCCTCCAGCTAACAGACCCTCCTCCACAGATGTATACTTACCAATATCTGAACCCTGCGTTTGTTTGACATCCCCTGCTGCAAGTCCCTCTCTTGGCTGTGCCCGCACAGTAGAGCCCCATCAAAGTTTTATAAGGCTCGTCTCCTGGTCCAGATAGCGGTAAAAGACCTCATAGAAGTCAATGGGGCTCTACTGTGCAGGCATGGCAGAGAGAGCACTTGCAGTAGGGAATGTAAACTAACCCAGAAACTGAGTGTTAGATCAAGGTAAGTAGTGTTGGATCAAGGTAAGTATACATCTGCGGGGGGGGGGGAAAGATTAAGTGCAATTTGGATTGCTGGCTACTGGTTGCGGAACTCCTTACATTTGTTTTATTGAATAAGCCCTTATCTGTAAGCTGTCCCGTTATTTAATATAGGCACTATACAGATATATGTGGCCATAATGGGTCCTTTTAAAGTGTACCAGGGTGCATAAACAATACTGGAGTCCATAGAATTGGATTTCTCTCCAGGTGCCTGCACATTGGTTGTGAAATCCTATAGAGTACCCTTAGAGACCCTAAAGCAGGGGCAATATATTTTGCAAATGGTGGCCAGGTTCTGTAATTGTCACCCCCGGCTTTCTACCTCCTTACCCTCAGTATTAACGCATCAATGTAATGGAGCGTCAGCAAAGCTAGTGACCACAGAAGCTGTTCATGATTTTTGTAACGTAATACCCCTGGTTTGTGGGCTCCCAGGGTACTCCACATGAGGTTGGAGCTGAGGTGCCTGCTATGCAGTGAAGCATTTAACTTCATGTCCTTAGGTTTGTTTTAAAGTCATTTTTGTCCTATGCGGAAGGCAGTGCCCAGTCTACTGAGAACTCTCTTCTGT